CAGCGTACGAGGAATAATATATTTGCGAGGGTTGCGTCCTCGCCAGTTCTACGGATGGTGGTTCTCTTCTTGCCTGCCGGTCTCGCGAGATTTTGCGCTATTTCGGCCGATTCCCCCGCGGGGTTGGCCCCCGCCCTCGTTCTTCGTTGCACCCGTGCCCCCTCCCCTCTTCCCGACTGCGTTTGCCGAGTATACTCCTCCTCATCTGTGTATGTGTGTGTGTGCGTGTGTGCGTTTGTGTGCTGGTTGCCTTTGCACCCCGTCGATGGAGGATGAGTGTGGAAGGAGGAAGAGGAGGTATGGAGTTGCCCGGGCACAGGGGTGGGGGGAGGGGGGTCGGTTGGGCTGTTGAATGCTCGCTCACTGCATCGTACCGTGTGTAGCCCCGTCCCGTGCCCGTTCCTTCCAATATCCTAGTTGCTTCTTCTTTTTGCTTGCTTCCTGCTGAGCTCTGGACTTCCATTCGACGGGGCTACGCGCAAGGCGGTTGGAGGATGTCAGTGAACTGACGGACTTTTCTTCTCGTGGTGCTGGTTTCTCTGAGCGATGCGAGCGTGGCGCTGCAGTGTGCATCAAGTTGCTACGGGGTTTTACTGTAGAGAGGCACCGGTATCTCCTGGAAATCGCTGTCGCTGTGTGGTGTCTGGGCACTGGACGCTGTCTCGAATGATTCCTGTGAAATTGCTTTCTGTTTGTGCTGTGCCTTTGGCGCTTAATTGTGTTTAGTGCTTTTGCTTTGATCCGAAACGCTATCTATATTTGTCCAGTCTTTTAAAAAATGTCGGAGAAGGCGCTGTATACAGTTTGCGAGCATTGGCCATCCGCTAGCAGAACTACCAGCAGCTTTTTTTTTATTGCAAGATATACTTGGAACTCAGTTTTGGCACGCTTCATTATTAGCTTATTGTCGAAACGAAACTTAAATTTCCCAACTAACCGCCAGCTGCTGTTGGTGAACTATCTCACGTTCTAGGCTGAAAATACGGGGCATCGCGTTTTTGTTCGGTCACTGGAGCATTCACCCGTCATTCTTGTCAAATATTTAGAGCTTTACAGTTAAGCCGATGCAGTGCTTAAGAAAATAAATCTTCTTGCATTCGCTTTTGACATTTATATTTTCCTCTTTTTTCCTCTATTCAAACGCACGTGAAAGTATATACGTGTCCTGCTTG